TAGTGTATTTAAAAAAAAAATATTTGTGTGCGTCTGAAAAAAATTTTTTTTTGTTATTTATTTATAATAAAAAATTTATACTAATGGACTTAAATATTCGAATTATATATACAACAAGGTTTAAACATTGATTTTATAAAAATTGAAATTAAAAATGAAACTAATAAGGAAAGATTAAAACAAGATTCATGTTTTTTTAATAAATGGCAATCTTTCCGGTGAGCTTGAATTTAAACTGGACCTTAATATTAATTACTTGTTTTATCCAGATTAATGTTTTTCGAATTATTTAAGTTAATTTCCTTATTCGAATCAATTTTGAATCAATTTTATTATTCAGATTATTCATTTTATTTGAATTAATTTCCTTATTCGAATATATTTTTTATTTTTATTCGAATAAACGCCCTAACGTGAGCTAATTATTTTATTGGTGTGTTTTAATTAATGTAACATTTAAATAAATTAGACCAGTTTATTTCTTGTTGAGTTATTATTCCGTGATAATCGCTTCCGTTTTTTTTTTTTTTTTGTGCTAAAGTGAGGCCTTGAAACCACGTTTATTTATATAAAATTTAATGCGTTATTAAATATTTACAAAAATTTTTTTACACGTAATCCTACCCCAATTAACCTATTGTTAATTTAAAGCTATCCTTACACAAAGTTTAGATACTTAAAATGCACTTAAAATATACATCATATACTTAAAATATACTTAAAATATACCGATGGAAGAGAACAAGAACATTTTAAGTGAGTTTTAAGTATGTTTTAAGTATATAAAATTATACTCAAAACACATTTAAAATATACTTAAAACATACTTTTGATGGTAAACTAGCATACTTGAAATACACTTAAAATACACTTAAAAGGTTACTTAAAACATACTTAATTTTGTTCATTATTAAAAAAAGGTATGTTTTAAGCACGTTTTAAGCACCTAAACTTTTTGTAGAGTAGCCTGCCACCTTTACTTAAAATAATTAAAAAGTCATATTTAAATAAATCTATCTAAATAATTAAAAAAAAAGATAACATGCTAAAGGCAAAATTTTCCCACCTAACACCAAAAAGTATAAAATTCTGACACACTCTTCCCATTTATCAGAATGTATAGCATTCTGAGAATTGGATGAAGTAGCTTGAGAATTTTTTGTTTTGTAATTTTTTTTATTTTTATCTGATATCCCAATTGAGTGTTCCCATTCAATAAACTCCTCACACCTAGGCTTCCAAATTTTTTCAAAGAAAAGTTCCTGGATTATACTTAACAATTCCAGAGCTGTTTCCTCCCTTTGGATTTTGATTGTTTGATACATGTAAAACTATGTATTATATTTTTTGAAATTAAGCCTCTTGTGAAATTTTTCATAAAGAGTATACAAGATGTGGGATTGTTGAAATAAGGATCTATTCCACAAATTATTGTTTGTATATCTATGTAATCATTGTTACTACTATTTTTATTATTGTGGTTATGGTTATGATCCACTAGTGACTGAATGAATTCAGATGTTTTTTACTGATTGTTTTAGCTGCATCTTTTGAATTCTCACAATACCATAAATGATCATAGTCTTCAGGAGCTAAATTACACCTAGGACAATTTGTAAATTGCCCATATAAATCAGGTCTACGTTTTTTTAAAATTTCTAGTACTGGTAGTTCATTATGTAACAGTTTGATTTTGAAGGCTTTCTTCTACTGCCTTTGAAAATCATTTCCAATTTATAAGTTAGTTTCCTGTGATTTATCATTTACTATTTTACATTACTTGTAAAACTTTTTAAGCTTTTAGATTTAGCAATCTCTCCATCTAAGATTCTACTTGTACGAAATGCATTTGGATGTAATTTATGTACTCGTTGTGAATTACTACTACCACCACTGCTGCTGCTACCATGATTTTTAATTTTAGAAAATTTGAATAATCTTTTTATTAAACTATTATTATTACTATTATTATTACTATTATTACTATTACTATTACTATTACTACTACTGATACTATTTCCAACACTGTTATCATCATCATCATCATCATCATCATCATCAAGAACTTCCCTATGTTTATTAATAGCAAAATCATAAAGCTCTCTACTAGTTGGTCTTTTTGATGGATCCATATTCCAACACCTCTGCATCATTTGCATGTAATCATCAGGCATCCCAGGTAATATTTGGTGGTCATAAGCCTTCACATATATCAAAAATTAATGATGATTGTGAGCTCTATCATCAAATGGTGGATAACCTGCAAATATTTCCCACATTAACATCCCAACACTATAAATATCTGTTTCTTTTTGCCTCTAAGTAGCTCAGGTGCAACATATAGTATAATTCCATAAATTTTATTTGATAATTTTTCATCAACTGGTCCATATAATCATAATTGTTTAGTTATAACAACCACCTCCTTGCAATAATATATTACCACTATGTAAATCACAATGGATTAAATCTTTTTCATGTATCCAACATAATGCAACACATAAATATAAAATCAATTAGCATTATATAACACAGTGTTGTTTATTTTTGTTATAAATGACAACTACCAACCTCATCAAAAAAGAATTTTCTGAATTATTTGAATCATTTAAATTTTTTAGTACTATTTTTTGTCTTCCAAAATAACCAAATTCTTTTTTATTTTCATTGTAATCATTTATTTTTCCTCTTATTTCATACAGCAGTATAAATTGAACTAAATCCACCTTCAGTTAACTTTTTTATATTATAAAATTTCTTAAAAGGTATCCATTCCAAAATATAGTTTGGCAAGGATGATTTCATTTGACATTGTTGAATAAAATTATCAACTATGTTATTACCAGATGTCCAATTAGTAAAAAAACTCTGTTATTGTAAGCTAATGCAACTTTCACAGAATCTATCAGAGTATCTTGTCAATTACACTTGTTACATTCTTTTGGTTTTCCCTTTTTATTTTTTTGCATTTTTTAATTCAAATTCATAAATAAAATTTTCTTTACAATATTCTTTTTCATTTTCAGAAAGCTCCTTGTTTTTTGGACTAATGAAAAATAATCTTTTCTACTTTCTTCATCAGAATTAATTACTGCATTATTATGCATTCCATTATAAATTTTATATACAAATTCCTTTCTTTCTGGCGATAATGATGATAATAGTTTAACATATAACATTATATAAAAATATAAAATATAAAATATGGCTTTGTGTTTTAACGAATAGAGTGGTTGGTTACATTATTTTGTGGAGAAATTTGAAAGTAACAAAAAATTTTCTCATGATTATTCGTGATAATAATCCACATTTTTAAACATATTAATATACAAACTGACCCGTGAGAAATGTTTCCAAACATTCAAAAAAAAAATTAAATAAATATATTTTATATATTATTTCATTATTGAAATTTTTTTTGTTATAACAAATCCAGCAAAAAAAAACAGTGAACTAACATGTTTAAAGGTACGTTTATAAACTCTTGCACTTTGAAAAATTATTCCTGGTTCTATAATATAAAGAAATGATCACAACATGCTTGGATCTAGACCAAAGAAAGGTATGAATATTATTATGTTTTATTATAGTTAGTGATTACTATAGCAAATGTGTTGAATCTTATTAACGATGTAATACTTTTCATTAGGCAAAAAGGATTAATAGTGCATACAAGTCGCAAAGGTCAATGCAAGCTTTCAACATTTGTAAATATATTTTTTTACGAATAAAAATATTCAATTCAAATGGGGGATAAAATTTTTTTTTATATTTGTGTTGCTTCAAACCAAGGTTGGGTGACGAAAATATTTTGTGTAAAAAGTATTTCGTCAAATGGGGCACATGTGACGAAATGTGACGAAAGTGACGAAAAGTGATAAAGGGTAAAGTCAAAAGTCAAATTGTGATAAAGATGACGAAAATATAAAATTCAATTTTATTTAGATTTAATTAAAACAAAAATTTAATTTTAAACATTTTTTTACATCGTAAATTCATGTTTCTTGGTTGGATACTTAATTTTTGTACGCAAAATTTTAGTAGGAATTGCTGCTTCACATCTATTGCTGGTTTCATAACTTTCTTCAAAATCTGTAGAATCATCTGATAATTCTGATTGTTGAAATGATTCTTCATTAACTATTTTAATGGAGTGTAACCATACATCAAACACAGGACGTCCTGCTAATTCTTGATTATTGTTAAATGAACTTTCAGATATATTATCTAATTTTAATGTTTGCAAATTCATATTATATGATGATGATTGAGAAGGAATTGGTGAATTGGGTAAATTAGAATTTGACATCATGAATTTTACTTACTCCCTAATTTAAAATCTACAAAATTATTTTATTGTTTTGTTGATTTCGTCACTTTCGTCAAATTACTCAAAGTGTAATAACCCTATTTCGTCACATTTATTTTCGTTATGTGACGAAAAGGAGACATTTCGCCACCCAACCTTGCTTCAAACTATAGGCATTTTATTATTTTTGATAATTGAATAGTGGTGATCGGCGTAGTAATAAAATTATCCAATCAATTTCATTATGCGTCAGCCAATCACAGAAAAAGCCCTCTATGTTTACATCAGTTGTTTATTTAGCGATAGAAGGAAATACATTGGGTGAATATAATACTATCAGGAATTTAGCGGACCGTGCAGTAAATTCTGCATTAACAAAAATAAATGATAATGATCGAAAGTTAAAAATATTGGAAATATTACCACAGGTAGTTGCATATTAAAAGGTTTTTTTATTTGATTATATTCACGATGATACTACAGCAGATAAATAAGCCGATTGAGTGGTTATAGCTGAAGGCTGGATGAAAATCCCTCGAGGTGTCAAGGGTGCTGCTACCTTCCTGGCTGTGCGTAACTTCATAGTCAAAAAAAAAAATGATGCTTCTGTAGTTCACCGATATTAGATATCTGATTGGCACATATATAAATAATTGTTTCGCACAAAACTAACATATATCATCTGTTGTAGATGCAATCTGGGTATAAAAGCATATTAGGGTTGAAAGTGATTTATATTAAGAGGTCCTATTAATAAAGGTTAACCAAGTTATATAGGAACCTGTTCCGAATAATTCACGTGAAAAGATTGAAAAAATTTAATACATTAAAATCGACACTTAACGTAAGTATTTAATAATTCTATCTTGTTTGTTTATCTAGAAAAACTTATATATAATGTTTTTTAGAATTTCACCGACTCGGATATATCTCTTTATGGTTTAAGAAGAATCTATTGGAATATAGTGACCCTTCTGAACTCTCAAGGCAAAGTAAAGAGGCGAATGCGGTTCTTAGCGATGACTCTATTACCGTGGAAAAGTTAGGATCGAGACAAAGACATCATTTCTTGGTAATAATTATTAATTTATTTATCTCACATAATTTGTTATATAAACTGCATTTTATTTACATAAATTTTGTTATCAGGAACCTAGGGAGAATATGAAATACGACTTACCTGAATCTGTTGTATTCAAGTGTAGGAAATTTTAGATGACTTTAATGAGTCTGGTGATACATGCATCCTCATAAATATTATCCACGGAAAAAAGAACAGAACGAATACTAAGCATACTGTGAGTTTCAGTAATATTTTTCTATACATATTTAATTTACTAAATTTTATATTATCATCTAGTGGAAAAGTGTGGAAGAATTCAGCTTTCAAAAAAGTACAGCTCGCAAAGAACAAAGTGAGGGAACTTATATCACGGATATAATTATGCATTTACTTCAGGCTAGTCTGGAAGATATGTCTAATGGGTGCGTCTGCTTAAGCACGTAAGTAAATTTTTTCAATATGTCCAACTCTTCTACGAATATATTGATTATTCAAAATCGACTTTCATTACAGGGCGGAAAGACAAAGTTTGGCGAGCAAATTTTTTACAATTCGGATGGGAAAGAAGCCTGATATTATGGCTTTGATAAAACATGAAGAGAAAAATTAGTGAGCTTAGTTATGCTGAATTATCACTTATAATTTGCAATAATACCAAAAGGTCCGATGATGAAATAAAACTATGGCGAGAAACATTAGATGGTATCGATACGTTAAACAAGCTTGTAGACTTCTCAGGAATCCTATGAGTATGTATCCATTTTGATATGGGTAATCTTTTATTAAATTACTGACAACTATTTTCAATCTATAGAATATATTAATTGTCAACCAAAGCTTGATTATGCAGGCTTCAGAACCACATAGAAAAGAATAGAAACAAATGAGGACTAGAAAGATAGGTTATGTAAACCCTCCTTTGTGTGAAGACAGGAGATTAAAGAAGAAAAATAACGCAAAATTTTAGAGTATACATATCTATACTATATTTTACTTTTTATTTTTCCCATATAATAAACTGGCCTGGTGGCTGATTTATCATATATAATTGGTTAATTTTTGCGTAGCATTTTGGAATTTATTACGTTATGTTGACATTGATATCAATATATACATGAAAATTTACTTTTATTGAAATTTAGCTTTACTGTGAGCGTCTGCCTTGTAATGTCTATAACCGTGTTTTGCTTTGTAATTGTAAATTTCTCTCCATTAACACATCTAAATTAGTATCAGATTCATTTGTCTCTGAAGAATCAGGGGTTAAATTTTATTCCAAGTTTATCAACTAAGCTTTTACTAATACTAATGTCATTAACTGGATAAGGCTCGTGACCCTTTTTATGAATTTTGCATTTTACATATGTCATCAATCATTAATTACTCATCTATGTCACAAAGCATTATTATTTGTAATCCACGATGGATGATCAGGGATAGAACCTTCTCTGAGAAAATTATTAAATGCGAAAATAAAGGATCCCGAGAATTCGAATCATTATCTTGAATTGATCCTAGTTATAAAATTGAGGGAAACCATCATCTGAATCAGAACTAGTTGATTCGGAATTAGACCATTTATATGGTTCTTTATAATTTTCAATGTAAATATTTGTGTTAAGCTCTTTTAACCAATATTTTCAAAATGCTCCAATTCAAGTATTTTAAATTCAAGCAATTTCTCTGATAGTTACGTTAAAAATGTTACTAAAACCAAGTTCAAAATGCTTGAGTTTAGGACAAAGTTGAAGAGCTTCATTAATAGTTGATTCAGGAATAAATGGACAGCAGGTAATATTAAGATGTTCTATATTTGGTGTGCCAAACAGTTCAAAACCGTATTAATTTCCTTGACGAAAGACTAGATCCTTGACGAAAGTCAAACCCTTGATGAATGACTAAACCCTTGACGAAAATCAAAATCATTGAAGTCGTTAATAAAACAAGCAAAAACCAGATCTGATTTTTATTAAAATATATTATCAACTAACAATTATTTAAATTTCTGTCTTTATTTTTACAACTTCATTATCAACATTTCTTCTATGTAAATTATGTTATTTGTAGTTGAAAAATTAATTAATGCAAATATTCAAGATGAAGGAGCAAGACATTTAATGGTTATTGGAAAAAGTTAATACAAGCCTTGACTTTTTTGATATATTTGCTTAAATTTCTTTGTTAACATTATCTTCAGTCTACGCATCATTATTCCCATCTTCTAAATTACAATCCTCACTTTCTAAGCAATGATTGACTTTGTTTTCAAAATTGTCATTATTTTCAATCTGTAAACTTCCACTTATGAGGATAAGAAGTTGTGTCATTGTTAGTATAATACCATTTCGCTTCGTGGGAACAGAATAGACTAAATACGTATAGAATTTTTACACCTCAAGGATGTAATCCAAAACCCCCTGAAATATAACAGGGATCTTTTTTCCCATCAAAAAAAGCCACTTTCCATCTACTATATCACCTTTATACATAGATTTGGAAAGCACGTATCTCTTGCTCTTCTTTGATTAAGAAGAGTTGTAAATTCTATCCAGTACATTTCAATCTGATTCAAGTATGCTGTATAATGTGTTGATACAGACATGTGGCTCGCTGATGAAAAGGTGATTTGAATAAATATTTTGATAAAGGTACTACTTACAAAAACAGAAATACTAAATATCAGATCTTTACGACTTCACTAACACAGAAAAAATAGACAAATAACTTACCTTGAGAAATTATATCATTCTTCCATTCCAACTCGGTACGCATGATTCAATTTCATTGTTAAGTAATTAAAGTTGGTGTCTGCAACTAAGAAATTTCAACTTAGGATGTTACAATCTATGTTGCAACCTGCTGCAGAATTTCAATCAGTTGCAAACACTAACTTTATAAGTAATAATATGGATTTTCGAGTTTTTGATATGTTGCATCAGCAGGCACATCGGGTACCTTTGTTGGACTTTATATAAAAGATGAATGCAAGGATCATATATGGGGATGCCAAAATAATTGAGATTTGACAATGTTGCCATAATTTTAAATTCTTTGCCCCAAAATTTAATTTGAATGCCATAGTAATAGTCACAATGATTTGAGATTTGTACGGCATGTGTGATTGCAGGACAAGTGTGACTTGTACTTTTATCAAGAATTTTATTTTTCCGATGCACACACTCGCACATACATGATCAAAAATCGGGCGAAATGAATTTGATTACAAACTTTATCCTTGACTAGAGAGAGCCTGACACGCACATTCACCATGATTTAGATCTTGAAACCAGGAATCATAAATGTATATAGTGGACAAAAACAGTTGTGGTGCACAAACATGATGTAATGATGTAACCAAAGATTGGTACATTGCGTGCAAAATAAAATCGTATTATGGAAATGTGAACAGTGAATAATGATAAAATCCTTTAAAAATTCAGGCCTTCTTCTAAAATAAAACTATATCGAGCATACAATATCCAACTAATTCCAGCAACTATTCCAGCTAATCTACCAAATCCTAATTGAGAATTTCCATTATTAGTTACCGTGCCAAAAGATGTATAAATATGATCGTTTTCAGAATTTACAAATAGTTTGGTATTGTTGGCCTTTAGATGATCTGTTCCAAGGATGTTAATATCTATGAAGTGTGAGCTGGAATTGGCGGTAACCCCCTATTACCATTACTATGAAAAGTTTATGCGGAAAATGCATGAAGAATACACAGAAAATGAATGTACTAATATGGAAAAATTGCTTGAAAAGCCTATCCATTTATTTATTTAATATTATTTAAAAAAAAAAAAAAAAAAAAAGATCTTTGTTAAATAAAATAAAAAACAGTCTGTAAATATTTATCACTTTTTTACTCTTGCTAAAAAATAAATGGCAGAAGGAAAAGCAGGTAATTATTATTATTAATTTAAATTTCGAAATAATGATAATAAAAATAACAACAATAATAATGATAATAATAATAATAAATAATAATATCATATATCATTACTTACATTCATAATTTATTTATCAATATAATTTACTTTAGTTGGTATTGATTTGGGAACCACATACTCTTGTGTTGGTGTTTGGCAAAATGACAGAGTTGAAATTATTGCTAACGACCAAGGCAACCGTACAACACCTTCATATGTTGCCTTTACTGACACTGAACGTTTAATTGGTGATGCTGCAAAAAATCAAGTTGCCATGAATCCACACAATACTGTATTCGATGCTAAACGTCTTATTGGTCGTCGTTTTAATGATCAAGAAGTTCAATCTGACATGAAGGTACATTAAACATTCTAATAATGATGACGATTGTGTTATACACATAATAAATATTATATAAATAATAATAATAATTTGCTATCAATCTTTAATAATTCTCGTATCATCATTCCTCCTCTATAATAATAATAATAATAATATAGCACTGGCCATTCAAAGTTATTGATAAAAATACCAAACCATATATTCAGGTTGAATATAAAGGTGAAGTTAAACAATTTACTCCAGAAGAAATTTCGTCAATGGTATTAACAAAAATGAGGGAAACCGCCGAAGCTTTTCTTGGTACAAAAGTAGCAAATGCAGTCGTTACAGTACCTGCCTATTTCAATGATTCTCAACGTCAAGCAACAAAAGATGCAGGTATGATTTCTGGGTTGAATGTGCTTCGTATCATCAATGAACCAACAGCCGCTGCTATTGCATATGGCTTGGATAAGAAAACAAAAGGAGAGCGTAATGTGTTGATTTTCGATTTGGGTGGTGGTACCTTTGATGTTTCATTGTTAACAATCGAAGATGGTATTTTTGAAGTCAAGGCCACTGCTGGTGATACCCATCTTGGTGGTGAAGATTTTGATAATCGTCTAGTAAATCATTTTGTTCAAGAATTCAAACGTAAATTCAAAAAAGATCTTACCACAAATGCTAGAGCACTTCGTCGTCTCAGGACAGCTTGTGAACGTGCAAAACGTACACTTTCAGCATCAGCACAAACATCCATTGAGATTGATTCGCTTTTTGAAGGAATTGATTTCTACACATCTATAACTCGTGCCAGGTTTGAAGAATTGAATCAAGATTTGTTCCGTTCCACTATGGACCCAGTCGAAAAGGTGCTTCGTGATTCAAAAATTGATAAAGCTCAAGTACATGAGATTGTGTTGGTTGGTGGATCTACTCGTATTCCAAAAATTCAAAAATTGGTATCAGACTTTTTCAATGGCAAAGAACCCAACAAGTCCATAAATCCTGATGAAGCTGTTGCATATGGTGCAGCTGTGCAAGCAGCTATTTTGACTGGTGACACATCCGAGAAAACACAAGATCTTCTTTTACTTGATGTTGCACCACTTTCACTTGGTATCGAGACAGCTGGTGGTGTGATGACGCCTCTTATCAAACGTAA